GAAAACGTGTCATGTTTACATAGACGATGCTATCATTTTCTCCAAAACTGCCGAACAACACAGGAACATTGATCAAATCCTGACAAAACTTTTCGATGCCAATATGCGCGTTTCCTCTGAGAAATCCAAGTTCTTTCAGGAAAGTGTTGAATTTCTAGGCTTTGCCCTGACAAAGTCAAAGACATTTTAGAATTTTCGATTCCAAAATCGTTACGAGCTTTGCGTTCATTCCTAGGATTAGCAGGATATTATCGACGGTTTATAATGGACTATGCCTCGATTGCAAAACCTCTAAGGAAGTACCTAAAGGGGGAAAACGGAAATATAGGCGCTAATCAGTCAAAGAAAATTCAAATTACTCTTGATGAAGAAGCACTTAACGCATTTAATAAGATTAAAAATCCTTGCATCAGAAGACTTATTGCTTCTTTATCCTGATTACAAACAAACATTTGATCTGACTACAGATGCCTCTTCTTATGCCATAGGCAACCGAAGAAAACTACGCTACCAACGAGAGAGAACTGCTGGAAATAGTATGGGCTCTACAAATGCTTCGCAACTATTTGTATGGCGTAAAGAATTTGAATATTTACACCGACCATCAACCACTCACATTCGCTTTATCCGATAAAAATCCGAACGCGAAAATGAAAAGATGGCGTGCCTTTGTTGAGGAATTTTCACCGCAGTTTCTTTACAAGCCTGGTAAGGAAAACTTCGTCGCGGACGCACTCTCCCGATAACATAAAAATGCATTAGACCATGACATGGACTCGGCAAGCATGGCTGCGAATAGCGAAGAGTCGCTGTCTCAAGCAATTCCCACTGTAAAGAACCCCATAAATTGTTTTCGGAATCAAATAGTCCTTGAAGAAGTAAGCACTTAGCTCGAAAATTATATTTAAATCCCGAACGAGGCACCGAATATCGTTCAATAATGTAGGAGAACTGATGAAAACTATAAAACAACTAGCTTATACACGCGGATTTCACCCCGCGCTTTCATACAAATATGAAAAATAATTTAATGATGTTAGATTTTATTTCTGTGCCAATTTCGTTATAGCTCGTTATTTTTTAAGCGAGTTAAGGTATTTAGGCCGTTTAAAACTATGACATTATAAAATCTCGTCTGCGCGCTAGGCATACGAAAGATATCAATCCCTCTAAGTTTACCTTAAAATGGTTCCAGGTATACGACGCGTGAACGTGTAACCTTCTTGGAGGTTCCACGGCGGGTTCTAATATTTCCAACTCAAATTAGATAACCTGGCCTTGATAAAATATCACTTCTCATTACTGTAGCAAATGCCTCAAGAGAGCTTTAGATGATAAGGCCGAACCCGGCTCTCCCTTTTCCATTTAATGAAATTTATTCTGTCAGTATGGCACTTATAAAATAAATCTAAATAACAAATTTAAAATACTTATTATGAATTAAGAATTTTATAGTATGTATGGGAGGCGACATGCCTCCTTTTTTAATAACTCACATTTTTTCCATGAGCAATTGATACATTTTGTATACACAACTCCAAACCAAGTTCCAGTATTCTTCCACAAACACTTTCAGGGATATGTGGCAAGAAAAAGTAAATTTGTACTGGAAGTGCCACGCCCCTTTTTCTCATAACCCTAATCTTCTTCCATGGATTTAGAATTGATTTTACTTACCCCAGTACCAAGTCCCAGTACGCTACCATGAACACCTCTAGAGATAAGCAGTATTAAACAGTAAATTTGTACGGGAGGAACCATGTCGCCTTTTCGAATAACGCAAATTTTTCTCCATGAGTATGGAATTAATTAACCGACTTCCAAAAAAGGAGGAGGTTATCAGTTCGTCGGAATATTTTTTTTTTTTTTTATGTATGTTACCGCATAACTTTGCACCACGTCAACCGATTTCAATAATTTTTGCAACGGAAAGGTAGTGTCTCAGAGGTGGTCCCATACTAATTTGGTTTAGATCCGATCATTCGATCATGAAATATATAGATATATATATATTTTTTTTGCTAAAAATTACTTGTTTTGTATACACATCTCGGTGCCAAGTTCCAGTCCTCTGCAATAAACACCTCCAGAGATATGCAGCATAGAAAAATCAATTTGCATGGGAGTTGCCACACCACCTTTTCCAATAACTCTCATTTTTCTCCATGAGCATGGTATTAGTTTCACATACATATACATATGTATTTCCATACCAAGCTTGAGTGCTTTACCCCAAACATTTGAAGAAATATGCAATATGAAACTTTCAGTCAGTATGGGAGGTGCTACGCCAATTTTCCAAAAACCTCCGCTTTTCTTCGTGAATATGAACATGATTTCACACAGTGTTGGCAAACTGTTAATCTGATTAACGATTACAAATTAACGATTAAAATGTTAATCGGGTTTGACGATTAAAATTAATTAGTCGTACAGTTGATTACGACATGATAACATTTTTTTAATCGTTAATCGCTGGCTGCGATTACGTTTAATTAATTTAAAACATTAATCGTTAATCCAACTAAAAATAAAATCTGATTGATTATTCTAGTTTGTCCGAGTTTGGAACCAAACACCAGTTGTAGTAATTATTTTGTGTTTTACGCTTATAAAAAGTACATAATATAAAAAAATTATAATTATTGTTATTAGTAATACAGTAGGCCGCTGTGGTGTAGTGGTAAGCAGTGCGCGCTTCCACTCATCAGCACCTGGGTTCAAACCTTGGTCAAAGCAATATCGCAAAAAATATAGAAAAAGGTTTTTTCTTAATAGCGGTCGTCCCTCGGGAGGCAATGGCAAACCTCTGAGTGTATTTCTGCCATGAAAAACAGCTTCTCATAAAAATACAATCGCCGTTCGGAGTCGGCGTAAAACTGTAGGTCCCTCCGCTTTGCGTGACAACATCAAGGCGCACACCACAAATCGGAGGAGAAGCTCGGCCAAACACTAACATATGTGTAAGCGCCAATCTATTATTATTATTAGTAATACATAAACTGGGAACTTTTACAAACCCAGTTTGTAAGACGTTTGTTGGTATATATCTTAATGAAAATGCACACCAAATTGCTTAGATTGATGAGGAAACCCGACTTAGCCATACCGGATTAACTTGTGTTGTGTGCACAGGGAAATTCCAGCATAACTTAATTAATCACCCAAACTACTTGATTAAATTAAGAGTTAATGATTAAAAGTTAATTTTTTAATCGCGTTTACGATTAACTGTTTAGTCAGATTAAAATTAATCATGATTAACTGTAATCAGATTGAATTTAATCGAATTAACTAACTGATTAAAACATCAATCGATTAATGCCAACATTGATTTCACATACATATCACTATACCAACTTTCAGTTCTCTTCCACAAATACGTCCAGAGATATGTATGTAATATGAAAATTCCAATTTGTATGGGAGGGGCCTTGAGTTATCGGACTTACTTTCAGTCTAAGACCATCCTTCCGAAATCCGTAGTAAGTGTACTAAATTTCGTTCTGATCGGAAAACCGGTTAAGGAAGTAGCCTATTTTTCAATCCAGGTCATTGAGCAAAATTTCATTTTCAAACAGGTGGCAATTCTTAAAAAAGTAGCCTATTTTCCAGTCTACGTCATAAGCTATCTGTGTGCAAACTTTCATGCAAATCAGTTCAGTCATTTACGCGTATGAATTGAATTAAACTTTCCTAATACGTGATACCTCTTAAAATAGTAGCCTATTTTGCAGTATAGGTCATAAGCTATCTCTGTGCGAAATGTCTTGCAAATCTGACAAAACATTAGCCTATTTTCCACTGTAGGTCATAAGCTATCTGCTTGCAAAATTTCATGCAAATCCGTTCAGACTTTTTCGCGTATTAATTTAATTAAACTTTTTTAGTAACTCTTAAAAAAAGTAGCCTATTTTTCAACCCAGCTCATAAGCTATCTGCGTGAAAACTTCCATGCAAATCAGTTCACTCATTTCCGCGTATTAATTAAA